TGAAGCTCAGCTTCTTATTTGTTCGATTTTTTTATATATGTATTTTGGTGACCAGTAAAGGGGAGAGAGGGGAAATGGACGGAATGCTTTTTGTCGCTTCTTCTCAGTTTCATTAAAAAATTAATAGAAAACTATTTTTTTGTATTTTCTCCTTTTTTCAGCAACAAAAAAAAAGAAAAAACATTCTATGAATATTTCAAGAATTCATAACATCTTGATTAATGTAAGAAATGATTATTGCCATTCCCCCTGCTCTCAATTAAAGACGAGTGAAGATGATGAACTGATTTTCAGTGTGGATCACTGTTTTTGATGTCAAGACTATGAATTAATGCTCTGGTCTATTTGTAATAGTCAAAAAATATTACATGCTGTGCTTACTTATAAGCGAAAGTTGATTATCGTACTGTGCTGTACTTATGAGTAAGAGTTGATTATTGTTAATTTTATAAGAACTTATTAATAGACAGGAGATTTGTTCTTTGGAAAAGCATGAGCACACCTGATCGAAAAAAAACATAACATAAGCAAAAAGATTAAAGATGAATTACAGTTTTTTAATGTCAAATCATTATGTTTCAAGAGTTGAAAAATTCGACAACTTTCTTCTAAAAAAAATTGCAAATAAAAAAAAAACAAAAAATAACAAAAAAAAATGCAATTTTTCATCAGAAAAAAATGTAATTTTTTTTAGAAGAAAAATGTTTAAAGAAACAAAAATTGACTATTTCGAGATAAGTAATTCTTTTGAAATTAGATGAAAAATGATCATGTTTTTTTTTAGTTTCTATTATTTTAATTTTTTTTTTTGTGCTATTTGTAATAGTCAAAGAATATTACGTGCTGTGCTTNCTGACGTAACAGTTTCAAGAGTTGAAAAATTCGATAACTTTCTTCTAAAAAAAAATTGCAAACAAAAAGCAAAAAAAAACAAAAAAAACAATAAGAAAACAAAAAAAAACAAAAAAACAAAACAAAAAGACAAAAAAAGGCAATTTTTCATCAGAAAAAAATGTAATTTTTTTTAGAAGAAAAATCTTTATAGAAAAAAAATGGACTATTTCGAGATAAGTAATTCCTTTGAAATCAGATGAAAAATGATGTTTTTTTTTAGTTTTTATTATTTTAAGTTTTTTTTTGTAATGCCAAAGGCAGTAAGACGCGATAGTATTATAATGTTAAAAAATGATTGAAAAGTATCAGAGTAATTAAGAAAAGCTCAAGGTGCTATGGATTGAGCGGATATATCTATCGAATCGTCTGAGATTCAATAATGTAAACGTCATGAGTTCGATGTAAAAGTGTCTAAAGTTTCAGTGATGAAGAGGTTGATTTTATGATGAAAACATTTAATTATTTTTTCANCAACAACATAAGCAAAAAGGTTAAAGATGAATTACAGTTTTTTAATGTCAAATCATTATGTTTCAAGAGTTGAAAAATTCGATAACTTTCTCCTAAAAAAAAATTGCAAACAAAAAGCAAAAAAAACAAAAAAAACAAAAAGAAAACAAAAAAAACAAAACAAAAAGACAAAAAAAGGCAATTTTTCATCAGAAAAAAATGTAATTTTTTTTAGAAGAAAAATCTTTATAGAAAAAAAAATGGACTCTTTCGAGATAAGTAATTCCTTTGAAATCAGATGAAAAATTATGTTTTTTTTTAGTTTTTATTATTTTAAGTTTTTTTTTGTGATGCCAAAGGCGGTAAGACGCGATAGTATTATAATGTTAAAAAATGATTGAAAAGTATCAGAGTAATTAAGAAAAGCTCAAGGTGCTATGGATTGAGCTGACATATCTATCGAATCGTCTGAGATTCAATAATGTAAACGTCATGAGTTCGATGTAAAAGTGTCTAAAGTTTCAGTGATGAAGAGGTTGATTTTATGATGAAAACATTTAATTATTTTTTCATATTCTCAGAATTTAAATTTGTTGATAGACACATTTGCATCTTTGTCGTTATTAAAAGTAAGAAAATCTCAAAGAGCAACTACAAGACTGGATAGTCTGAGTCTGAACTCATATCATAATTATAAGCGTTATGTGTTCAATGTAAAACGTGTTCAACTTTGTCAATAATAAAAAATTTAATTTGATAATTAAACACTTAATTATTTGATATTCTAATAGTTAATTTTAATTTTTTAAGGCGTTCTTTTCTCCATTTATCTGATTGTGTTTCTTTGAAACGTTTTTTTTTGTTTTCAGTTTCAACGTGTTCTTGGAAATTGAAATTCCGCTAGAATTTGACTGTGATAGGTAAGGGGAGGTGAGGTGTTGAAAGTTATTTCAGTTCCCAAAAAATATATCAATATCCGGAAAAAAAAGAAATGTTTCGAAGAAACACTGAAATTACTGAAAAAAACGATTTTGAAATTTCCCTCCAATTTTAGAATTTAATTTCAATCGTGCCATATATGAATTCCCGATTGTGTAGTTCTCGAGAACGAACACACACGAAGTTTTACCGCGACTGAACCCGTTATTATACGCTCTAATCCTNTTCAGTTCCCAAAAAATATATCAATATTCGAAAAAAAAAGAAATGTTTCGAAGAAACACTGAAATTACTGAAAAAAACGATTTTGAAATTTCCCTCCATTTTTAGAATTTAATTTCAATCGTGCCATGTATGAATTCCCGATTGTGTAGTTCTCGAGAACGAACACACGAAGTTTTACCGCGACTGAACCCGTTATTATACGCTCTAATCCTAACCTCAACAGGTTTATGACCAGTCATTCCGTGCAGTACATGGAACATATCGCTGTTACGCGCAAACACCAAGGTAAGTGAAGAAATAATTAAGAAACAAATTAAATTGAAGCTGTCGAAGATTAGTACAACATAAATTCATGATAATTTCAACACATGTAATGCAACGTCGAACTACAAAGTGTGAAAAATCGGTAAATTCTGTATTTTCAGTTGTCACAATGGACTTAATTGTCCACACCATAGAGTGAACAATTCCCCTCATTTTTTTTCACTCTAAACAGAGATCGACAAAAAATCAATATTTCTTTATCAATAATTCATTACCAAGCTGATTGTCAATATTAATAATTTGATTTTTATTACTTCTACAGTCAATAATAGAACGAATCCGATATTTAATTACCATTTCGATTTCTAATTGAACAAAACAATTTTTTGATTAAAAAAAATGTGTTTAAAAATTGGACAAGACGTGGGTGTGTGTGTGTATGTCGTGNCATAATTAAGAAACAAATTAAATTGAAGCTGTCGAAGATTAGTACAACATAAATTCATGATAATTTCAACACATGTAATGTAACGTCGAACTACAAAGTGTGAAAAATCGGTAAATTCTGTATTTTCAGTTGTCACAATGGACTTAATTTTCCACACCA